ATTTTTTTACAATTAATAATAAAATTTGTTTCCATTACAAAAAAAAAAAAAAAAAGCAACATGAAATTCATTTTCCCACCAAAAAGGTGGAAAAACCAATTCCACCAGATCATGGAAGTGGCACATGTGTGAGGGATTGTGGAAAAAATTTTCTAGGAAATATTTGTACCATCAAACGTGCCAAAAGATGAAAAATGGAATTTGAATTCCATTTTCCATGAAAAATATCCCCTATCAAATACACTCTTAATAACTTTTGAAGTAAAATGCTATTTTGGGTCTTTCTTGATTGGGAAAATGAACGTATAGATACAAAAATGGACTGGAAAAAGACGAGAAAAAGCTAATGATTCTTATTTTGGGCTTTTAGTGGTTGCTTTCTCGATTGAAGTACGAAGACAATAGTTTGTTTCAGTTTCAAGAACTTGAATGAATTTGTTCGTTTGTTTCCAGATGTTCCATTTGATGCCAACGCCTCAGGGAAGCTTTTATGTGTTGAATGACATCTTCCGTTTGAACTATGCATAAGGATGGTGGAAGTTAATGTTGTCATCTTCTCATGACATCATTTGAATATTGACTTGTTTGCAATTCCACATTTTTCCCATCATCATACTCTCTTCTCTTACTCTTCAGTTTTAAAAATTTATATTTTGTCGTCTTCTATAATTTCAATTGTTTGTGTGGTCCTGTATAGTTTGTGTGGTCGTTGTTTGGGCTGTGGTAGCACTTTACCTCTCTTTGGAGAGCTTGTGTTGGGTGTTTTTCCTCCTTGTATCCACTTTTTCGCCTTCTATGGAATACTTTGCGATTGTTCTAAAAAAAAAAAAAAGAATAATTTTTTCACTCTCGATGTTTTATATCTACAACGTAATAGATTGTGCATCTTATCATCAACAACATATCATTCTTACTCGTTACCTTGCAACTGTCGTAGTCTATTCGAGGACATAAAGTTACAGGTAAATGAATTTTGGATAATAGAATTTTTGGAATAGTGATTGATGGGAGAATGTGTGGTGGAAAAGTTATGAAAAATTTTAGATTTGTGTGTAATATTATTTTATTGGAAGAATGTGTGGTTGAAATGAAGTAAGAGAAAAAAATGAGAATGAGATAGAGAATGGGTGCTAAACATGAGCTAGATTAGTATGGATCATTGTNGGAACCTTCTTTTATTCATTGTAACTTCAACACCAACATACTACTTTATTAAGGGTGTGTTTGACACCCATTTTTTGAAGATAAAAATTTTTAGAATAGTGATTGATGGGAGAATGTGTGGTGGAAAAGTTATGAAAAATTTTAGATTTGTGTGTAATATTATTTTATTGGAAGAATGTGTGGTTGAAATGAAGAAAGAGAAAAAAATGAGAATAAGAATGAGATGAGAATGAGTGCCAAACAGGAGCTAAATGACGGAGGAACATTGACCAAATTACCTTGAACAAAAAGAGGAAACGACTTTTTGTTTTGATGGAGTTCTTAGATGTTGTAATTAAGGTCTTAAACTTTTAAACATGACTACTTGATCTCCAACTACAATCATTTTTGTCCGACTTTAATCGTTTTTGATCAATTGTTCTTTCTTTTCATCTGTCCTCGTCCAATTTCAAGTTTTTTCTGGAAATAATAACTAACTATCAAGCTCGTAATAATCATTCTCAAAGGTTACTTTTGATGACCAAGAATCGAAGATAAGTATAATATTTATATTTATTAGTTATAATACCCGTTTTGCTACATCTCATGATATTATACCCGCATTTGTTAACCTTCTTTGAACATTTGTACAATTGTTAATAAACGAGTATTGCAAGTTATAAAAAAAATATTCATACATAAATTTCGGAGTTCACAAATGATTTCTTTTCATTGTTGCAGTCTTCGATCCTCGTTTAAAATTACGTGAAGTCTCGTTTAAAGTTACGTGAAGTCAAACGGTGTTAATATATAATTTTAAATAATTTGAACTTCTAATCTCGTTGAAGCGCACATCCATGTGCAATACTGTATTGAAGAGGGCGAACTTTCATAACTGTTAGATATTGCAATTTTAGATTATAAGATAATATAATTAACAATTTCCTATAACTACATTCTCGTCTCATTAAATTTATTATTAAAAAAATGTACGTTAAATTTTTAATTCCACATAAGTAACACGTAATCAGTCCCAAGTCCTGAAAAGAGGGAAAACCTTATTTTACTTTGTACCTTTTTTAAAAGAAATGTACATTCAATAATTTATGACAATTTTACTTCCACAAGTAAAATGTTATCAGTCCCAAGTCCTCGGAAGAGGGAAGTGTTTTAAAAATTTGAATTGAGTTTCTTTGCCCGGAAAAAAATGACAATTTTGTTGACAGATATTAACGTAGGGATGTCAATCGAGCAGAGCAGCTCGTCGGCTCGGCTCGTACTATTCATGTTCACGAGCCGCTCGAGCTCGTAAAAAAAGGAGCCCGAGCACGAGCCGAACGGGCTGGTTCGCTAGACGAGCCGAGCCGAGCCGGCTTGGCTCGTACTATTCACGAGCTGCTCAGTGAGCGGCTCGTCGAGCAGCTCGTGGGGCCAGCCAACGAGCCGGGTCGTGAGCTCGTATATAAAAAAAAAAATTAAAAAAAAAAACAAAAGTGACCATTGCGGTCACTGATTTATCATTGACCGTTCCGGTCACTTGTGACCAAACGGTCAGTGATTTTTCAGTGACCGTTTGGTCACATTTTTTTTTTCTATTTTTCTTCTCGTATAAATATCTACCTATTACAACAATTTTTTCTCACCAGACTT